AAAAAAATACTTACATTTTCCTCAGCACAAGGCAGTAGCTTGTCCTGGCTTAACTGGCAGCATTTGGCGCCAATTGTAGTCATCTGCTTGGTGAATTTTATCAGCTCCGTGGATGTTAGCTGGGGCATCTTCTTGGTGAAGCTCATGAGAAGCCTGAAATGATATTTCTTGTATAGCCATTTTTTTTTTCTTTTGGGCAGCACTGAGCAATCCACTGCCTTCCCACAGGTAAAGCTGCAGCCAAACCCCAAGGAACACCAGTCATTTGTGCAAAGACAGGACTAAGGCTGGTGTTTACAAACACATGGGTGAATGTAGCGTATTCTGTTTGTGTGAGAGCTCTCCCTTCTCTAGGTCTCTTATCAGGTTAAACAAAAACAAATAATGATGACATTGCCCATTATATGTTATTGGGCCCTATTATGGAAAGTTTCATATATCTTCCCTGTGTTAATGATTTCCATGGGAGTGCAAAGAGATTTCCAAGGAGAAAAAAATATTTGAAGAGACTTCTTGAAAAACTAGATAAGCTGAAACAAGCTCACTGTTTTCTTTTAGAATTATGGCACTTCTTAGTGCCACCATTGATGCAACAGGCAGAAGTGATAAAATAGGCAGATGAAGCTGCCTGGCCCAAAGGTGTTGTAAAGACAAATGTGCCGGGGATGCTGAAAGCCCTGTATGTCTCTGGAGAAGGAGAGCAGAAGCCTCACATTGTGTACATGATTGATTTGTGGGTTTTGCTGAGAGGACTTGCATGCTTCATGCTAGGCGTATGCTCATGAACACCGCTCATCGGGGCCAAAGTTCCTGCACACGCTGTGCCTGCAGGTGGTTGTGCAGGAGCTCCTGCCTGAGCAGAACTTAGGGCTCCTCTAGCCAGGCTTTGCTCCCACTACAGTAATTTTTTTTTTTTTTTTGCTACAGCTGGTACTATTTACATTTGCTGCAGATAAGCTTTTTGCAAAGGGCAAAGAACTGTCTTTTGGCCAATTTTACAGCTTTTCAGTAACAGCTTACAACTCAAAACACAGCTAGAAAGTAAGAAAACCTTAGAAAACAATGTTTTAAACAGGAGATTAAACAAGCTGTCACTGCATTGCTTCATGTCTTGGGATAAGAATAGAACTCATGAGGCGACATGATACTGTACCAAAAAAATAAAAGATAATCCTAAAATCTATTAATACTTTGGACCAAGCCCATGGGTGACATCAGGAAGCCTAGCTTTTTTGACAACCACATTTTACTCTAGCCAAAGCTGGTACAGGAATAATGTAAACATGTAAAAAAAAAAAGTAATACTCGTTTTGGAAATAGTAATCTCCTTTCTCCTTGTAGATGTCACAACTTGTCTTCATCACACTTTCCGTCTCATGAATGTGCTTCCTCAATTCTTCTTCCTGAGGAAAAGGAGTTAAACTGTACTGGAGGGACAGCAGAATGCCCTTACTGTATTACAAGGGTTTGATATCCCTAATTTCATCCTCCCTGACAGATACCACTCCTCACTTTCTGCAAAGCCACATTTGTTTCCCCAAAAATCCCAGACTCGTTCAAGTAGCTGAAGACTATTGGCTCTGCTAGTTTTCCATGTAGGAATCCGTCAGGGCTTTTAATATTTGTTGGGTTTGCTATAAGAAGCTGTGGGTTCCAGCTCTAGTATGGGAAATCACTGGCTGGCCTGAAGCAGACTTGTGATGATCTGCTCAAAACCACCCGCGCGTTGCATCAGCATGGCAGCACCCACCCCTCTCCTGCAGCAGTCATCTGGAGAACTGGTTTTGCAGCACTTGTCCAGTAAGTCCTCGTATCCTTTACCAATTCTTAAAAGCATCTGAGCAGAAAACTCAGGGTGTCTTCTGGAATATTCATAGAGAAACCTGTAAAGGTGAAGGATGTCAGTGCTAGGAGTTAGAAAAAAAAATAATAAAATAAGTGCCGCCAAGAGATTGGGGGTCTGCAGAGTGCTTTCAGGATGGCTCTTTCTGACCTCCTGCCAAACTGGGCAGGATGCAGAAGGCCAGGCCAGGAGCAGGGCTGAGGGGAAGGCGGCAGCCGGATCCCTGCCCTGCCTGAGCAGTCCTGGCCTCATGACTTCCCCAGCTGAGGCTTAGGCTGAGTCAGGCAGAGCTTAGGGGTACGTGGGGAGCATGTGTGGGAGTTACCCTAGCTAGGTGCTGATTTAGTCGTGTCCAATAACAGACCTGTGCTCAGTCACTGGAGCTTTTCTGAAGCAATCACTCTGCATAGCTGCAACATGCCCAACTTTTAGATGCCATTTTCATAAATGGAAATGATAGATATTGGTTCAAGTAAGTAAATTCTTTGCCTGTGGTACCTTTTCTATGGCAGCCTGTGAGATCTCTGCTGTGGAGGGTACAGGTAGGATCAAACCTCACAGCGCTAAGGAACTTGGCTAGAACCAAAAACAGCCCAACCTGTTTGAATGAAGATGTGAGTCTGACTTACACAAGTGGTTTTGAGTTCCCACTTCAAACTGGCTCAAAGCTGTATTTTGAGTCCAAGAGCAGAACTGATGAGTCAGTTCTCATCAGTTTTGTCCCTCAAGTAAATTGTGCCCTGTTTTTGTTCCTTGCTCTCTAGGGTTGAGAGGTGTTTACTAGGATAAACTTCCGTGATCCCACCTGCCTACATGCTCACAGAGCAGGCAAGCCTGAGGCTGATGTGCCCAGCTTTAACTGCCCACCTGGCCTCTTCTGACCCAAATCATGATACAGCAGAACTGGAGAAGAGTAAAAGATGGTCTATGTTACCTGGCCAAGTGATTATCTTTTTCCTGAGCAAAGCGTTCACATACTCCTTTGTCTTCTATAAACTCTCTGATGTGGGGAGACAAATCTGCAGGTTTGTCATCATTTTCTGCATTAATTATACATTCAATTCTTTCAAACATTGGCTTTGCACAGCAGATTTTAATTTTGCTTGATATGCTGTCTTGGTTGGTGCAGATGTAGATTAGAATCTCTTCCTGTAAAGTGAAGAAATTACGAAAGGAAGTTTAGGGTATCTTCTACCACTCATGCTTCTCTTTTCAAGGGTCATTATTCTTATCTGCATTTTGCAGAAAGAGAAGGCAATGCCATTTGCTCAAAGCAGTGCAGTACGTGTTTGTCAGAAGAAGAGAGACAGTGATAGGTTCAGGCACAAGATGATCTTTCTGCGTCTTATCATGACTGAAAGTCAAATGGGACAATCAAGTAGATTTTCAGACTGAAGGATTAAACTTGATGCAGTACAAAAGGGGAAAAAGTACAAGAGAGCAGGAAAAAAAATGCAAGAGAGCAAGAAAAAATGCACTCAATTTCTGCAAATGTGTAAACATTAACTGTGTGTTACCTTATGATGCATACACTCCAGCATGTCTCCACGACAGCAGTCCTTGTGTATGTTGGTGATATCCAGTACAAGCTTGCTAATGGTAACAAAATCAGCCTGAGGGAATTTTTGGCTTATCTGAGCAAGCTTCCTAAAAAGGATCAAGATAAGTATTATTTATACACTCACAATGTGAAACTGTGGTATTTTGCTTTGGAAGACGGTAAACAGTCTCTCCCTGCTTTTCTGTAGGTTGATAACATCCCTTAAACACAAGAGCTGATGTGCAGAGCCACCTAAGGATCCTAAGTGGAATGAATCTGCCCTGTTTCTTTCTCCTACCTCACACTGAACACAACAGGAGCAACCTGGGGTCAAAACTGAGAAAAAGTGCTGGATGACTTTACTAAAAAGTAATCTGCTCCAAGTCCCTGTAACTTTCATCACAGAGGACCAGGCTCTTTTCAAATTTTTCTTACATTTCTGGAGGCTAAGGGTAGTTTGGAAGGAAACTGTGACTAAAGTCATGCATGAGTTTCTGTTTCTAATCTGCATTCCTTGTTAGATAATGCTGTTGGTGATCTGGGTACAAAATTGACATGAAGAATATGCACAGCTGTTGTACCGGGGCAGATGTGGATCCACCCTTTATTTTGCAACACAAAATGTGCCTGCAGGAGCTCTGTGAATAAGGAGCACTCCTAAGAAGGCTTTGCAGCCTGGCAGTCGGTGAGGCTGTTCTGCAGCCAAAACAAAGTGAAGCCTCTTCTCGTAAAGATGGGGTTGGGGATGGGGATAAAGACTCACAGCGCCTTTATAGTCCTTTCTCCAAACTTCTTTAAGATTCCACATGTGTGTTCCTGCTTCAGGCCCTCTTCTTTTATTGGCTTCATCACCTTTGGTACCTCGTAGAAAGAAGATGCAAACCATTAAAAAAAAATAAGAGGGAAGACAACGCTTCATGGCAAAATCACTACATTGATTGTTTTTTAGAGAAATTTTTAGTAGGAAAAAAAAAATAGATGCTTATTGGCCAGTAAAGCAGAAGAACAAAACTGCTGTCCTTCTTACTCATTCAGCAGCATTTACAGAAGAAGCATAATGTGAAAAGAAACAAGCTCCCCTTTGGAACAGTAGTTATATGTTTGTAAGGGGAGAAACCTTCACCTGGGAGCCATGTGCATTTGCATTGCTATCAGATAAGATTAAACTAGTTTAGTATTTTTATATATCGTAGCCTGGGCAAACTGCATAAAAGACATAGTTAGCTGTTCAGCAAGGAAAGGCTCCCTTGTTAGAGATAGGTTTCTCCAACTGACAGACACTGGCTACGTGGGACATGTTTCTGCAGGGCAGTTATTGGCCAGGGAGGAGCTGTGTCATGGGGCTGTGAGCAGGAAACCCATCAGACTTCTGCGCTCTGCACAGGACGGCTTTTTCCTTGCAACAAGCTCAGGGCAGGCAGCAATGCTGGGGTGGGAAGTGATGCCCTTGTGGGAGTGTGGGGACTGCAGTGCCCAGCCAAGCTACGCCTGCCCAACAGCCTCAGGGAAAGCGTCTTCTATTAACGCTATGGGAGCTGTGAGTCAAGAGAGTGTTCAGGTCTCGTTTCTGCTTGTCCTTAACATGCTGTGTGTTAGGTTTGGGCACCTGAAAGAGAGCTGACTGACAGTAGCTCTGCTTCTGCATTTGTTTTGCTGGATGAAAGCCTCTGGTTGCACATTATGTAAACTCTACATGTGCAAAAATTAATACCTGTCTGTGAAAGCATTCGTCCAGGCTGTGCGTGGGGTCATCGGCACCTGTGCAGCAGTTTCTCATCATCTCATCGTACTGCACGGCTGCAGAAAGGATTGTGGGGGCGTAGAGGAAAGGATGGCGCCGGGAAATCTCGTAGATAAAGCTAAAACATGAAGATAAACATCTTCACCTTAAACATCTTTATCATTTGGAGCTACATCCAACACAGGGATGACAGGAAAGGATTCATGTAATGAGAATTACAGCTGGGTAAATTATGTTAATACCCTTGTGTTGGGAAGAAAAGTAAGGATGTTTGCAGAAAATTTAATATTTACCTTTTGGATTTATTTGTATTCATTGTCTCTAGGCAGCTAAATATCACTTTTAAACAACAGATCTATAATTTATTTACTTACTATCCTGTTAATGAATGTTGATGCTGTGAATAATTTTTGCAGGCAGCTTCAGCGTTTGGCCTTTCAAAAGGAGAAATGAATCCTCTTGTTGAGTTTTTATGGGAGAGGAAGCAGTCATTCCTTTCAGAGCCTTTTTTAGCACAGCAGTCAGTAAACCTGGGAAGATTTTCCTCCTGGCATATTGTATCAAGGAAGATACTCTCCTGTGAGAAATTAAAAAACATACACATCCTTGTGAAGATTCCGCTTCACTCTTGCAAGCTCTCTGTGGAAAGTACTCTAACACAACAAGCCCTTATCTGTCTCAACTTAGAGGTTCTCTCTTTTTATTACCTTTTGATCTGATTGCAATGAATATCAAACTGACCTGTAAAACACATAAATGATGATTTCTCAAACTTGAATACCTTTTTATGCCAAGCAGGGTTTTGAAATGGACTGTCGCACGCGCTGTGCACCTCCCACTGCACTTACAACAATAACCCGACCCTTGATAACAACTAAGATGATTCTAGGGTTTGTATTCTGCAGCTGCCAGGACAGCAGGCTCTGCCAGGATAGCAGGGAGATCCTCTCAAGAGGATCTTCGAGATCTTCCTCTCAAGAAGGAGAGGACTGGTGAGGTAGACCGTGCATCCTCAAGAAAGTCACGTCTCGGTAACTTGCTCCTCTTGAGAAAAACACGTATCAGGGCTCTGAAGTTACAAGCCACTGTGCAGGTCTTTGCCTCAGTGGAAGTACACACGTGCTTACCAAGGGCTTGAGGCAATGCGGGCTGCCTTGGCCTCCAGCAGCGCACCTTCGGGCAAGCTCTGTGACATCCTCCGTCATTTTCACTGCTTTGCCAAAAGTGCCTTCTTGCACGTACTGAGCAAACATGATCATGGCGCTGCAAGGAGAGCACACAGCGTCACATATACACTGCTCACCACCCCAAACAGCTCGTGGTTTGTGCGCGAGTGCTTAGCCTGATTCAGCCAGCAAGGGGCTCCCTCTGAGCGCTGGGGGCACTCGCGGGGCCGGCTCATCTCTGAGCGAGGCCAAATGCCACACGAACGTTCACTAGCCACAAACTCGCAAGCAGAGTCTTTATCTGGGCAACTTACATGGCTTTAAAATTGTTCTCCTGCAGCTGAGAAAAGCGTTGGCCAATGGTGGCTTTTGCCTCTGAAATAAAAGAGAATTGGTTTCTGAATGAAAAAGGCTTCTTTAAAGAAAAAAAACATTTTTGGTGCTGGAGTCTCAAAGAAGGATAGTTTAGAAGCTCATCAGCTCCTTTGAGGATGCAAGGCACAATCATTGTACAAGCAGCCTAGATAATACCTTTTAGCCTTGCCTTAGCCACTTAAAGGTTGCTTCATCACTGGCTGGGTATGGATGAGGGATTCTGATTTTGGAAAACATGGGGTAAATTCAGGACTACATGGGTAGGCAAAGCACCAGCAAATTAATGGACAGCTTTCTGGACATGCTGTCAATGGGCCCAGAGAGGGAAACAAAAAAAGAGTCTAATGTATCTGAATATCATGTGGAAATAATTTTTTTCTTAGCTAATGGGCTTTTTCTACTGGCCAAACTTACTCCCAGGGAATTTTTAAGTTCCTCGTTTGTCAGAGACTCTTCCCAAGGATTAAGTCTAATGGAAAGGGAGGTCTCCCAAAACAGAAGTGTGTCCTGTCACGCCTCTGGGGTAGCACTGAGATCCCTAAAAAGGGGCCGAAAAATGAAGAAATAAATCAGCTTCTCACTCTGAGTAATGCAGAGGTGTAAAATGAGACCATGACAAGAGATAAATACCATCAGTATTTGCTGTACTTTACACTGCCAGGCTATTTAATGCACTTAGAAGTCCTAAAGATGCAAAAACATCCAGCTTTGACCAAAAAAAAAAAAAAAAGATAACATAAAAGAATTATCTTAACCCTGGTTTCGTTTTTGGCATTTAGCTCTGGTAACTCAGTGAGAAGTGTGGTCACTGAATGCTTCTTCAGCGATCATTGAAGGGCACAGGATTCTCCAACACACAACCCATAGCAATGGCCATCCTAACTGCTCTAAAGGCACCTTTGCAGCCAGTGCCTCCCGCCTGTGGTTTCTCTTTCTCTCTTCCTCTTAATCTGAGAGCCTAGAAAAACGGCAATCAGAATTTACCTTTGGAATACCTGAAACTAAGTGGCATAACTACATCCCTGTGGATTAGAATGTATCCTTTAAGTAAGTACTGATCGCATGGACTCATAAAACATTAAGAAGCAAAACATCAAAGCTGGATCACATAAAAAACTAATACAGGTATAATTTTGTTTTTACCTACAACTCACAAAGAAAGCACAAGCATATAACTGGCAGTGTTAAAATGAGATTCAAAATAACGACATGCAAGGAGTTGCAGTCATCAGCCTTATGTGAAAGAAAAGGGTAAAATATGAGATATATTCTTACCTACATCCTGATAACTTCTGGGCACGGCTTTGGCTGCAGTAAAACTTTCTAATAAAATAAAACAAATGATTATTTTCCAATTCATAATTTCAGATTTTTGCAGGGGCCTGAGCTGGGCTTCGTTTGTCTGTGAAAGGCAGAAAGACTTAAGAGGTGAGAGTTTCTTTTATATTCCCCCAAGCAGTTTTTGGTTAATCAAAACCCTGTGGCTGACATATGCAGGATGAGACCTTTCGGAGTATTCCTACAATGGTTAAACACCATGATGTCATTTCTTCAGTGTGATGCTACTGTTTGCAAAAAAAAGACCTTGTAGAATCTTTTCTTTTTTCCACAAAATTTACTCAAATAGACATTTTCAACTTATCACACTTCAAACATGAAGTTAAAGATTTGTGTGCTCTTTATCATGCATATAAATCTCTTTTACTTACGCATTTGTTCAAAGGTGGACACTACAGGAGGAGCCTCGGTAACACACTGTTGACTGAAGATCCCAGGTTCAGATGCTAACCCGAGATTTTGGCATCTCTCCTTGCTGAACAAGCTCTCTCCTGATCCCAGCTGCTAAATATCCTAGGCAAAAGCTGCCTAATTACCCTATTTTCATCATTAATAGCATCAAAATGTTTCTGCAATTTGGAAAGAAAATAAACTCAAAACAGGAGAATGAAGGGGAAAAATCAAGTTAATACTCAAGTTAATAATACAAGTAATTTTTGTGGTTTTTTAATGGTCTATAGCACTATTGAAATGCCATATTTTAGGCAATAGAGTGGTTTCGAAAAGCAGCTTATCCTTGCAGCAAAGAGATGGGTATGCAAGGATATGTGTCTTAAATCTAACGGAAGGGACAAAGTCAAAAGTTTTTGTTCCTTTAGGCTGGAAGTATTCCTTGTTCTGAAGTGAAAGAAACTGCACCAAGTTGTTCATTATCATGACAGATTGTATTGAGAGGAAAACAGATTCTGAGTGACGACGGGTATTTCTCAGAGCAGGGGACCTGAAATCTAAGGTGAAACCACATCTGCCTAGGAAGACACTGACAAGCTCTGTTACACTGCAAAATAGATTTATCTGACTGAAAGATGTCTCTGATCTGGAGGTCACTGACCATACTTCTAAGTATGTCCCCATCATCAAGCTCACAGGAGTAAATAACAGAAAACTTTTCTCCCCGGCAGAGGGGGTTGCTGAAACATGGGCTGCCCCAGCTACTAGGGATTTCCTGCTATTTCATTTTTGCCAGCTGCAGATCCCTTCGTCCGGGTGCTCGGATTTGGCTGCACCCTTTGTGCATCGAGCCAAGGGCCAGCAGGGGTGGAGGGGACTGTGAACGTGGGCAGAGCCCCACGCAGCGGGGATTAAGCAACCTGGGGTCTCTCTGCGGAGGTGCTGCCTGTCCGGGGACTTCCTGCACCAGCTTCCCCAAGTGTAGCAAGGAAAGGTTAAGCAGATCCTCTCATTTTCAGACCCTATGCAATGTTGTTACTATAAATTATACAAGAAAGCAAGTGGGATTACTTTCTTAGAGAAAGAATTGCAGAAACAACTGAGATATTGAGGCCAGAGACTTTTTACTTCTGATGCAGAAAAGTGTTTTTCAGAGATTACATACGTGCAATATGTTGTCCTAAATATTTTAGGAATCTGTACATGGCTGCTGTGCTTCAAACTTGTAGATTTAATTCCTCCGCTCTCTTGCCCATGCTCAGCAGGATGGTTAGCTCTGGTCAAGCTCTGCTTCAAAACACTTGCTGCTGCTGGGATGTCAGGCTGCCCGTTTGCAATGGCACTGTCATTCGCAGGAGTGAAGGTAAGGATAGCACTGAATAGCACTGAGAGAATAGGATATTGACAGGATAGGATTGATCTGGAATGAAAGAGCGTGGCGAGCACTGGAAACGTGCTCCAGCAAAGTGCGCAGCTCCGCATTAAGAGTCTCTGTTGTTCTTCTACCTGTGCAGTGCAGAAACTGTGCTGATCTCTCCAGTTCTATGCCTGTCGTGGGCACTGCTGTCCCCAGCAAGCTCCAGCCAGAGCCCCGAGCAGCTGCTTGCAGCCAGGGCAAGGCCGCTGTGCTGGGAATCCCACTCAGCTGCGGGCGGCTGCTGGGGACCTTCAGCAGATCCAGAAATGCGGCAGTTCTGGTGGGGGCAGCTCTTGCTCCTTATGCCATCACCACAGAGGAGGTGGGTTAAATAGGTTTTGGTGGCAGTTTTTCTTTCTTGCTTCTCTTCACCCTTTCTGAGAGGTCCTTGTGTCTGTTCAGGTTTTCTTATCTTCAGGGAATGGAGAAAAAAGATCTGTATAATACCTAATATTTCCTCCCTTTTTAGTCACGCCTTAGGCGCTTTGCACAGCCCCCGTGTTTGAGTGCTTGTTTCTGAGGGCGTTGTGCTGCGGGTATATAAACGTGTTGGCACGGGAGATGGGATCAACTCTTGCAGTACAGGTGGGAGCATGCCCAGGCCACGCATGCCTACATGCTGCCAAAAATTGGCATTGAGCATCTCTGTCCTTCAGCTCCTCTGAGGTTGTTTGGCTGGGAATTTTAAAAGCTTCATTCACCACTTCTTTAGCAGTGTTTTTGTCTTTGCCCTTTTTGTTTGGGTTTGTAAGGACACATTTGCTATTTGTATTGTGTCAGAGTGACATAACACTGGAAAGTGCACAGTTTTTAATCTGAAATGTTATTTTGTCACCTTCATGACATGAGAACTGAGTTGTAACTTAGCTACTATCCACCTATCACACTCCCCACAAACACACACTCCATTCCAGCAGCCTGTTAAGAGCAAAATACTCTCTTCTGCAGAGCAGAAAAGGTGAACTCTAGTAATTCTGCTAGCTCTGGCTCACCTCAGAAGAAACCTCTAGCCATCATTTTTGGTAGTAAAAGATAACAGAAAATAAATATCTATCTTAGACGTGGAGGACAGACACCTCTAGTCAGGGTTCAAATCCCAGTGTAGTTCAAGTGGTGGTGGTAGTGCTTGTAAAGTCTCATCAACAAAACAGGTCCTCTGTTTTTGCTCTACAGGACTTATTGGGATGAACCCATTGTTGCCTTAGGCGAGGATCTTATTGTGCCTTAGGCGAGGATCTTATTGTGCCTTAGGCGAGGATCTTCCCCAGGAGCTGTTCTTCTCTCTTCCCTCTTGGTTGCACAGAGTAACTTCCTAGGTCTGGGCTTGATAAGTCATCACCTTTGGGGAAGAGAGAATCAGGCATGGATCCTGGGTGGGTTGTGGGTGCCAGGAGGGATCTGTGGCCCAATACTGAGTGTTAAAACTTTAAGGAAATGCTGTTTCTATGGTGGCTGTTGAATATTTGTTGTCTACTAAAGCAAAACACTTTTTATTGGCAAGCAAAGTGGGTATGTTAGTGAAGTATGAGAAGGCAAGACAAACTTACAACACCTGGAGGGTAGGAAGCAAGCAATTCTCCCCCACCCTTTTTTTTTTCCCTTTTCCTTCTCCCCCCTAACTTCTTAAGCAAAACCCTCCCGCTTTTATCTGTGCTCCAAAATGCTGAAGGGGGTGGCTACATCTGAACTGGCCACAACAAAGTACAAAGGCTGCAATTTACAACTTGTCCTTGTCTTTATCGGGCACCTATAGGCGCAATGGTCTGGCCAGGGGAAACACCATTGCCGTGTGTCAAAACAAGTTATCTTAACACAAC